CTGTAGCTTGGCCGATTTTCACCAAGTCAGAGAAGCTTACCCTATAGTATTACACTAGTAGGCACTATAGTAGACGTAGTTAGCTAAGTATAGTAGGTGTTTGGTAAGTTATGCTATACGATAAGGTGTATAGCGGTTGAATTATACTATGCGTAGCTATGTATGGCGCCTGGTTGTGATATGCAATATGTGTGCAACAATTATGCTATGCAACGGTGCATAGAATCTCTTAGCGTCTATAGCCCCTAACACGGGGTACGCTATAGCGGAGAACTTAGTGCTGATAAAGTACTAAGACCGCTATGGGAGGCGCCGTAGCCTCCTGCGAACAAGCAAGATAGCTACCCGCGATAGCAATTGATTGCTGCCACCCGCAAGGCAATGTTTGTTCCTGTAATTTCCGGGCAGTGCCTAAGGCACTGCTACCTTCTGTATTTAGCTTTAGCCTCTCCTTCTCTAGTTTATTTTGTCAATCAAGAATCATCATATTGCACCATTGTTCCTATAGAGCACCTCTATAGGCACCCGTGCCCGTGATCGTTCAACTGTTACCTGCTTGGGATAGCGATCCTAACAGAGGGAGGATTGTTATTATAGTTACGTGTTACGCGACTTATTCCCTAGAAAAAGACGCGACTTTTGTCCCCCCACTATAGGTACAAAGATAGGTACGGTAGAGCGTGGCACAAACAGCACGGTGCACCACACCAAACCCAGGGGCTCGGAAACTGCGCATACTAGTACCTACCTAATTTGCTTGTCCATCCGAATAAACAAAGAACCAGAGAATAATGCACGGACAGAAACAAAAATCGCGGGCCGAAAATCTCACCAATAAAAGCCCCTGCATCAGCCTCGTGTCAGCGCATTATTTCGCAGCGGGCTTATTCTAGGCTTCCAAACGGCCGTCAGCACCAATCACGCTTGAAACGAGGTGTTCAACGGGTCTTTCTTCACCTCCAGATTTTAATCAGCTGCCTCCCCACATCCTATTCACCGGACCTCGCTATGAACCCGGCCGGTCACCTCCGGTGCTCCACACCGGCGCTGCCACTGCAATCCGGATGCTGCTTCAGAACTCCATGGCAGGTTTAGTTACAATTTCGACACTTAATAGCAACGTGCATTTGCTCTTATTCGTTGCTGCTTTATTACTAACTCCGCGTTCGCCCTATACATCGTGTAGGCTCCCGGCTCCCCACGCCGTCAATCCCGTCGTCATTGAGTTATACACTCAGAAATGGCACAACAATAGTTATGCCAACTCCCAGTACTGGAATTGCGCCTAGCGGAGCATACTAGGACATTTTGGAGCAGGGCAGCCCATCTACCTAATGCTGGAAGTGGCGCCGCAGACCAGCATCGTAAAGCTGGTTAGAGTGTTTCTCAAGGGCGGAATGGCAAACGCAAATGTCTGACACAATAATATTGTTCCAGACGGTCGTGAATCATCACAAGGCCTTTTCATTCTTGCATTCCTCATATATGCACGAATATAAATAGGTGCTTGATCGGCTCTGCTCCGCCGACTCGGCTCCACTCCTTCTTTGTTCCCCCAACATTGTGTTTTTTTCTGCGGTACCAGTTTCCATAATCTCATCCTCAAACGGCGGTCCTTCATGTCACAGTTCATAACAGCGTCCTACTAGCAATCGTTCCTCGCTGCGCATAGCAGACTGAACAGGGCGCCAGATAAGGAGACGCCAACTTGGTCAGAGTATCTATTCCCCGCCAGTGCCGCAGCCCTCTAGGGCCGTCGCGGTTGCACATTGATGCCATCTGCACGATTAAAAGATGAGGTATGCCCAACGCCGACCGCCTCGCCGGAGCTACACTGACTGTTACCTCTAGGGCACACAGATTCAGGTCATATCCGCTGGCGCGATAGCCGGTCTCGTCTCCAGGTACGCCGCCAACCTCACACCGCACTGTCAATCGCACACGTCCAACCTGACCCCCTAGATTCGTTATTGCGCCGCTCGACGTCCTCAAGATCCGCCTCCAGCTCCAACCACGACAATTCCAACCGAAACGCAGCACCGCTCCCGCCCCCGCCGACCGCACATACCAAGGCACCTATGCCACCCTCCGCCACATCCTCCGCCACGAGGGCGTCACCGCGTTCTGGAAGGGCAACGTGCCCGCCGAGCTCCTCTACGTCTGCTACGCCGCCTCGCAATTCACAGCCTACCGCTCCGTCACGCTCTTCCTGCAGACGCGCCTGCCCGTCAAGCTACCCGACGCCGCCGAGAGCTTCCTCGCTGGCGCCACGGCCGGCGCCGGCGCCACGGCCATGACGTACCCGCTCGACCTGCTGCGCACGCGCTTCGCCGCCCAGGGCACCCACAAGGTCTACCGCGGGCTCGTCGGCGCCGTCGTGTCCATCTACCAAGATGAGGGGCCGCGCGGCTTCTTTCGCGGCATCGCGCCCACGCTCGCCCAGATCGTGCCGTACATGGGCATCTTCTTCGTCACGTACGAGGGGCTCAAGGCGCGCATGGCCGACAGGCAGCTGCCGTGGGGCACCGGCGATGCCACGGCCGGCATCGCCGGCAGCGTCATTGCCAAGACGGCCGTGTTTCCGCTGGACCTGGTCCGCAAGCGTATCCAGGTCCAGGGTCCTACCAGGACGCGCTACGTCTACGGCGACATCCCCGAATACAAAACGACGCTCGGCGCGCTGCGCACGATTATCGCGCGCGAGGGCTTCCGCGGCCTGTACAAGGGACTCCCCATCAGCCTCATCAAGGCGGCGCCCGGCAGTGCCGTTACTGTCTGGACCTACGAGCGAGCCCTGCATTTCATGATAGAGTCTGAGGAGCGACAGCGAAATGCATTCCTATAGACTGGAGCACCTGAACGATTCAATACCTGGGCATATAGTATTTCGATTCTTCCGCGCACTTATTCCTGAGGGAGGCTGCGACTTGTTTCTTTAGACTTGGGTTTTAATAGGAGTACGGTTAGGCTGGATAAACAGGAGCGACACCACACACGATATATTCCGGCGTTTTGGGCAATAATACCTTCTTTTTTTTACTTCTTCCTTCTACCTCTCTATATGCTCGATATGTACTTTCATCATGGTGGGTTACCCTGGCGCTCTACTTTCTCTCGGTCAACGCACAAATCACGTCCTCCCGTTGGCGGCGTTGACCGCATCCGCGCGCTCCACGCAGTCCTCGATGACGTCCCAAAATTTGGCCACGTCGAGCGAGCGCGGTATGCGCACACCCGGCTGTCCGCGCGGCAGTAGCGTGCCGACGGTGCGGCCCGTCTCGGCCCTGCCGTCCCGGGCGTCCTCAAACACGCCAGCCGTCACGACGGCCACGTCGAAGCGCTCGTCGTACCGCGGCGCCGCGCTGCGCTCCGCGTCCCAGTCGTAAAAGGGTATCTCGTCGGGCGTGCCAGCGAGCACAGCGGCGACGGCGAGCGGGTCGTGCAGCGGCGGGCCTTGCGTGATGCCAAAGACTTCGCTGTTGTTTCACAAACGCGTCAGTATACCCCCTCCCAGAACAATAAAGAAACCGCGGGAATCTGTCGTGTTCGCACTCACGCATATGTTTTGGAGAAGAAGTACAGGAGCTCGACGAGCATGGTGCGCAGCGTCGTCTTGCCCTGCGTCCCTTCGCCGCCAGCCGCCGTCTTGCCCTGCGTCCCTTCGCCGCCAGCCGCCGTCTTGGCGCCTGCTGCGCGGCCGCGCAGCAGCATCTCCCTCACCGCAGCCGTCGCCGGCACCTGGTGGCTCAGGTCGAGCGGGACGACGGTCGTCTTGGGGGCGAGGACGGGATTGCCAAAGACCTCGGCGGCGGCCTCGGGGTCGATGACGATGTTGAACTCGGCAAACGGGGTGACGTTGCCGATGCGCGGGCGGCCGGCGACGGTGCCGAGCGGGGCGCCGGAGAAGTTGTCCCCGAGCGAGCCGCCCATCAGGCTCAGGCCCTTGATGTGCGCCGCGAGATCCGGGTGCGCGCGGAAGAGCGCGCCGACATTGGTCAGGGAGCCCGTGGCGACGAGCCACGCCGTGGCCGGCGGCTGCGCGCGCAGCGCCGCGGCCATGGCGGCCACCG